TAGATAGATAGATAGATAGATAGATAGATAGATAGATAGATAGGGGGATGGGGATGGGGAGATAGAGATATAGGTAGTAAGGAGGTAGATAGATAGGGAGATGGGTAGATAGATGAATAGTTAGATGGAAAGATGGACATGTAGATTGATAGATGGATAGGTAGATGGATATGTAGATAGATAGATACATAGAAGATAGATGTGCTTCGCTTTCCCATTGTGTTTCTTTGACGCAAACTTTTAGCAACTCCTCCCTTTAACTTTTTGGTTTCTTCATTGATATTGTTCGTTGACTGTGCCGCGACAGTGGATGATGTCCTGCGCCACTAACGTACGATCTTCGTTCGGTTTTTGATGAAACTTCCATTGCAACACCTGATATTGTTGTCGTCCTCACCCGTTCAATCAGCATTGTTGTAAGCCCGGGGCATCTAGGCTGTAGCTTTGTGGTGGTAAACACAATGGCGTCCACGAGCAGACGACGCGGACCCGCGGCATACCCACCCTTTGAGCCTCTTCCTTATTGGAAACAAGAGGACTTGAAGCGTTCACATGCGGTTTGGCAGTGGGTGGTTAAAGGTCAGGAGTGGGGTGTGGTGGGGGGTGGAAACTTCCTCATTCGTTCCCGCCTATGCGACGAGTTGTTTCCCGGTTCACGATCGAGGGCAGTGGATCACTTCACGAAAACGAAGGCGCATTGCCCTCGACGGACGACTGAGATACTGTGGCGCTTGCAGCGCCACGGAGCACAACTTTGGGACGCTATGTTGCGGAGGTTGGCCGCGGAGTATGCAGATGCGATGGAGGAGGAGCTGGCCGTGGAGGATCTGGTTGGACGTGGCACTGCTGCCCCTGCTGCCCCTGCTGATGCGTCTGCCACGCAGACACGAACCGATGGCGGAGAGGACGGGAGAGGTGCCGCAGGGCCAGATGGTGGTCAACAAGACTGTCTTGCCAGAGACGCCGCGGATGATGTTCGTGAGCGTTTGCGAGCGCTCGTCGGTATGGGGGATGGAGGTGACGAGAGGGCGGCGAGAGGGACTCCTACTACATCGACTGCCTCCACGCAGGTCGCACTCCAAGGAAGACAGACGACCTTGGATCCGTTTTTGCGAAACAAGGTGCAGAATGATCTCCATCGTTTGTTGGCACTTGCAATGTACAGCGGCGGCATGTCGTTCAACTGGCTACGGCTGAAGGAGACGCAAAAATATTGGGACTACATTGTCACACTCCTGCGGCCATCCGTCGTACCAGCGCCACGCCTGCTCTCGTACGAGGGAGTGAGGACGAGGATGATGGATATTATATACCATGAGGTTGCAGCACTCATCGCCCCCAAGAAGGCAAAGTGGAAGGACACCGGTTGCACCTTGATGACTGATGGTGCCACTGACCAGCGCAACAAGCCGATAATGAACTTCATCGCAGTAGGCCAGTCATGGCCAATCCTTATCCGCACCATCGATGTGTCGGCACGAGACAAGACAGGCGTGAGTTTGGCAGAGATATGGGAGGGGGTGATATGAGATGACATAGGGGTGGAGAATGTGAATGTCATCTGCACAGACAACGCGGAGGTTATGAAGGCCGCAGCGAGTATTCTACAGGACCACCCAGACCCTGCCATCGCACGGATCCCTTGGATCCCTTGCGCGGCGCATTGTTTGAGCTTGCTGCTTAGAGACATCGCGACACAGCCATGGGCCACTGAAGTGATGAAGAGAGCGCATAAGATCATCAAGTTCATGCGGAATAAGCAAAAGGCGCTCCATATTCATCGAACCGCGAAAGGGGCCTTGGACCTGACACGCCCGGCTGACACATAGTTCGGGACTGCATATATGATGCTGGAGAGGCTGTATGAGCAGAGGATGGTGCTTGATGGGGTCGTGTCCTCTGATCAGTGGAGAGATGCACGATGGGCAGGAGACGCGCATGTGGACGAGCCGGAGGTACGCAGACTTTGCAGATCGGACTGGTGGTGGCAGCAGGTCAAGAAAATGATGGACGTGATGAAGCCCTGCTAAACCTTCTTGAGGGCCATGGACTTCGACGGTTCATCACCCCCAGGGTTGTGGGATTTGGAGTCTATCTTGCGGAGGAGAATTGATGTATTGGGCCTGCGGGAGGATGAGAGGAAGGTGGTCTTTGACATTGTGGCAGATAGATGTGCGATGATGCGGCAGCCGACACACGCAGCAGCTTACTTGTTGGATCCTCGTCGACGTGACATCTCTTTGTTGTCTGATCGCAACTCACCCGTCATGCAAAGTACACTTGATCATTTCTCTCGTATGTTGGGTGGAGGTTGGGAGTCAAAGGCGCTGGGAGACTTGTGGGAGGATTTATGGACCTTCCACTGTGATGATCCTTGGTATTGGCCGGTGGACGGTCCTCATTGGTGGGACGAGGTTGTTGTTCGAGACGCTGCCAGCAAGACGATGCACCCAGCATTGTGGTGGCAGCTTCACGGTGGCGGTCACCCAAGGTTGCAGGCAATAGCAAAGAAGGTGCTCGGCATGTGGTCCACAGCGAGTCCTTGTGAACGCAATTGGGCCACTCATGATTTCATTCACACAAAGAGGCGCAACAACCTCTCCGCCACAAGTGTGGAGAAACTCGTGTTCATTCATTGGAACATGCAGCTTCTCGGCGCTAGCAGGAGGCCTGAGAGTCGCTACATCGACGTGTGGGCCGACATAGTTAAGGATCCCCCCGAGGAGGTGGACGATGGAGATGTCTTGCCTGTCGATGCGGATGAGGAGGAGTGGGAGGCAGCCGCTCGAGCAAACCGTCATAAGGACGGACGTGATCGCATCACATCTGCATCTCGCTATGTCGGCGATCATTATGAGCCTGGCCCTTGGGCGGATGCCGTGTGGATGCATCGTGAGATGGCGGAGCACATGCAGCAAGAGAGGGACAAAGGGAAGACCCTTGCCGAGGACCAACATGATGTCCTCGATGACTGGGCGGGGCTAGACCCTCACGAGGACTTGGACGCATACGTGGGCGGCAGTTTCCGCACAGTGAAGACCCTACGGGAGAGGGTGGGAGGTCAGACTGATGTTGAGGGGTTGTTGGCCAGAGAGGATGCTGAGCGCGACAGAAATCGCTCCTATGACGACGTTCATGGATCGACACCAGTGCGACAGGCGAGGGCGACAGGGTCCACACAAGGCTCCGCTTCTCAAACCCATGATCGTGCCGAGTCATCTCATCAAGGGGCAAGGGTGATAGGCAACACCACAATCGTAGAGGCGCATGCCTGTGCAGGGACAACGTCCGACAGTGCCACTGACCATGTGCGTCGAAGCGAGGGATCTCAAAGTGCAGGTGCTCAACATGGGTCGGAGCAGAGGGCGGAGCAGAGGACAGAGCAAAGGGTGCACCAGGCGAGCGACCAGAGTGTGGTCGACAGGCCGCAACAGAGGATGGAGGACACCAACACGGTGGAGCAGGTGGCAGAGCAGGTCGCTGATCATCCGAGGGTGACACAAACTGTGGTGCAAACAGTGCATCAAAGGGTGGACTGTGCCGTCGATGACACAGTTCAAGAAAGGCGAGAGGAGGGTGCACAGTTTACGTTGGAGCAGAGTGTTTAACAGACGGTCGGGAACGGTGCATACCAAAGAGCGGGTCGGAGTGTGGAGCCGAGGGTCGGGGATGCCGTTACACCAACGGTGGAGCAGAGGGCCGAGCAGAGACTGGGAGACAGGGTGGAGGCATTGTTGGAGCAGAGGACAGAGCAAAGGGCACACATGTCTAGAGATTGTAGAGTGGAGCAGAGGGCAAAGCAGAGGCTTGACGTCAGGGTGGACGTCTGTGTGGATCAACGATTGGGCCACGAGAGGGTGGTTGAAAGAGTGGGTGAGAGCGTGCTACATGATGTGGGTGGTGTGATGGCGGAGGAGAGGACTAAGGAGAGGGGAAGGGTTAACCCGCAAGAGAGCGTTACACCGGAGACCACATTGAGTCGAGGCTCTTTCTATGGGATTCCCCCGTTGCCCCCTCGTGGTGCACAATCCTCTATACGGGTTGATGTTGGCGCACATGTGGGGGAGCCACCACAGCGCCAGCGAGAAGGGGAGATAGCCTCTAGTGGAGGCAGGGGCGCATTGGACACCGTGTCCAGTCATGAAAGGCAGGGTGGGATACACAGCTCCATCTTGACGAGTCGTTCACCATCGTCGGGGAGTATAGCACGCATGTCCCACCAACCTCCTCCTTGTTCTGTGCAGTCACCCGGGCCATCTAGGTTGAGTCAAGGCTCCAGTCTTGTTAGGTGTCGTGGGACGTTTAACACTCCCGGGACTGGCACTCGTGCGATCAGTCCACTGGGCATGCCCCCGCTTCCTGCATGACAACCGTCTGTTATCATTGACAATACAAAGACGAATCGTGCCGGCAGGAAGAGGAAATTGAGGGGGGATGAGGCAGGTGGTGAGCCAGCTGCCAAACGATCGAAAGTCAGTACTGGTCGCCCTCGAGGCCGCCTACGTGGGTCGGGCAAAGGACGTGCACAACGTCGGCAGTCATGGGCGCTGAGTGCATTAGCAGATGTGGATACAGAGACTCCCGATGTTTCTAAGCGGTTGCCTACTGGACGTGGCATTGTCAGCGGTGTGTGCACAAGGTCTCAGGCAGGTGACGGAGAGAGACGAAAAGTCTCTTCTCGAGTTCTCGATGACGATCCTGACCACAATGATGATGGCAGCACCTCGGATGAGATGTCCGGTAGTGACTATGCTGAGGAGGCTCGTCTGAGGGGTGGAGATTTTGGTGGAGATGGGGATGGCTCTCATAAGAGTCATAACACTGAGGATGACGTGGAGTAGCGAGATGTGCTTCATTTTGTGTGTCGATCAGCGTGTGCCTGTCTTTGTTCGAGGTGCAGTTTGCTTAATTCGTGTGTGTGTCTGCGTCGGTGGGCTGCGAGGGTGGTAGAGAGAGATAGAAAGATACATGTGTTATCTTCAGTGTCATGTGGCTCATTCTTGTGCCATCTTCATACCATGCTGCGTGGGAGACAAAGATTGTGAGACAGAGAGAGATACAGAGACATGCAGTTCGTTATTGTGCTGAGCACTCTGAACTTGCTGCGGTGGTAGTGCGCATGTTCTGCTTCGTTTTGTTTTGTTGTTCGTGTTTGTTGTTCACAGCACACCTTTCAATGCTATCTTTGATTCTGGTTGTTGTTGTTGTACATGGATGCATGTGATAGGGTGATGATGAGGGCAACATGCGTGTGTTTATGTGTCTCTGACACGCTGCACAAGTATTGTCCGCGTGTGTGTGTGTGTGTGTGTGTGTGTGTGTGTGTGTGTAGATAGAGTCCATGAGCGTGTGTGCAATCAGACTCATTTCATTCTGCAACTCGCATGCATACAACAGATGGCAAATAGACTGGCGCCTGAGCGCCCACTCAAAGCTTAGAGATATGGATGATGAGAGAAGAGAACTGAGACAGAGACCTTGAGGGAGAGAGAGTGAGACAGAAGGGGCAGGTATACAAAGTTGGCTATGGTGGAGACATACCTGTTCTGCGTTTAACTTGTTGTTGAGAGGTGGCGCTTGAGCCAGGCCTCACATTGTGGTTGTATGACAGGGAGACACATATCGCACTGTTGGTTCTTGAACTCGAGATACTCTTATAATGTGTTGGAAATAATATAAGCTGCGCATCTTGGTTCACTTTTCATCTGTACTTTGTGCTGTGTGATGGCTCATAATCTGTGTGACCGGTAACGTGGCATGCATTGTGATACACTCTGGCAAGGTGTGGACAGTCAGGTCCCTGACCACCTCGCACAAGTCCTCCTCTTCCTCCTCCGCATCGCTTCTGCTAGAATGAATGAATGGCTGGGCGCTGCCTCTTGATTTATACTTCTGTTGAACGCTGGTCTGCCCCTTTCCAACGGCCCATGGTACACACAGTCCCTCATGGTACTTGCTGGACTGGATTGGGACTGACTGTACTGGTACGATTGACTGCATGGGTTTGCACTGCAAACTCGATGCACTCGCACTGTCGACATAACGCAGTTGGGCTCACCACTTGCCCACTTGCCTCAGACTTGACCTCCGGAGACCGAAAGGCCACTTCCGGAGCTTCCAGAAGTCTACAGACTCGGTCTTTCGGGTTCTGTAGCAGCTACGACCTTGACCTCTCAGAACTGTAGCAGCTACGACCTTGACCTTTCAGAGAGGCTACAAGTACGACCTCTACAACATGAAACGACCTGTATAGCTACGAACTCTACAACAGACTTGGGTTTTCATTTCAGAACTGTGATACACTCTGCAGCAGCGGGCCTTTCACACATTCCCAGGATGATTCCCCCCAGCCTCAACACCGTTTTCATTTATTTTTTTTGTTTTTGCTCCGAATGACCTTAATTTTTTGGGGGGGGATCCCTTGGTGATGCGCAACACAGACCATTTTTTTTTTTTTTCCCTCCCAAATACGGAAAAAATGAGTTGTCCAGGGTCCCGAACAACTCCACACAGGATGTCCGGCCAAGACGTCCGGCCAGGACAACCGGCAATCGGACAACTGGTAGCCTAGATTTTTTCTTTCGCCTGTACTGTGATGCATGTTTCCGTATCTCGTTGGAAGGCTTGACCTGATCAGCCTATCCTTCAAAAGGATCACTTTTTCTGTTATCACTGATAATAGGTCGGTTGCCGATTCGTCGGTCTACGACTCAACTTTCCCAGTTCTCCTGCCTCTCAACCTAAGGCCTTGGCCCTTGCCAGGATTTGTGTGTTTCTTTGGGTTTTCACCCAGCTTCTTTATAAATGACCATTTCTAAAAAACTAAGTACCTTTGTTGAGGATTGGTCGGGAAATGGTTGGGCTTGTGTGCTTAAGGCAGGGTGTGAGTTGTAGAAGGTTGGAAAGTTGACCCCTTTAGTGTGTGTGATGTTGTTTGAATGTTGTGTATATGATTGCAGGTATGTATGGGAGAATCTCGGTTGAGTCATGTTGAGTGATACACAACTGTCCTGAGAGTGAACTACCCCACAAGCTTTTGTTTGAGTGAGATTGTTTTTTCCCGTCCTGATAATGTGATAGTTAGATTAAGCGTACGCTCGGGTAACCCTTATAGGGTTATGCGACCGCACGCTTACGTTGTCCCCTACTCAAAGATTCTATCTGGTCGGACGTTAGTCTCAGGCCTGGAGTTCAAGGTCCTTGTCTAGGACGTTGATTTGCTTGTTGGCCCGGGGAATCTAAAGCGCCGCAAGGCTGAGAGGCTGTCCCCCAGCACTTGGTCCGGCGGGACGCTCGTATTTTCCCCCCGCCATGTCAAGTAGTCTTTTTTCTTTTTCCTTGTTTTGAATTTACTTTGGTGGAACGATAAAGTTCCGGGCGGAAGGACTAGCGTGTCGCTGGTGATGCGCCAGATAACTTACCACTGCTCCGAATTTCTTCCTTTCCTAGGGACCATCTTACCCCGCACCCTTTGGAGCACCTCAGGGTGCAGAAGATGGTAAGCCCTCAGGCCGGTTTTGTGCTTGCCAAAGGTTTACCCCCCTTAGCGCACGCTTCAGCCGACGCTTGAGCGTCGAGAGCGACCCCAGGGCTCAAAAGAGGCCACTCGGGTATGAGCCCTACATAGTGCGCCGACATCACGATTGCTTACTCAAACCCGCATTGTTGGTCGGTATGCGTAGGTTCTGCGTCCGCTCGACTTTATGGTAACCCGCGCGCGTGGCATTTACCAATTTCCTCGCTCGAAAGTTATGGGTCAAGTGGAGAGGGCAAGCCTTATGGCCAGTAGACCCAAGTTTCGGCAGCGCGATACAACGCGTGGGCAGGGTATTAGTCCTAGTCATCCTATGGGGGCCCGCGTACGAGCCTTCAACGCTTCGAACATCTGGTTGCCTATGGGCCTGAGCTTGGGCACCACCCACACGCATTTTTCGCGTTGGCCTACCCCTTTCATTTGGAACGGCTATCAGACTATCTGCAGTTGTTTTCTCCTTAAAGTTTTCATGGTTGGACGTTATAGCCCGTGGTAGCCGTCAAAGTCAAACCCCTTGAGGTTGGCTACCACGACAGCCTTGAAGCTCTCTACTCAACCCCTCTGCACAGGGTGCAGAAGAGGGTGTGGTCGTCAACCGCACATGGCGGTTGTCTAGTGCCGAGAAGGTAACCCCTTAACGCGCTTATCAGCTGACACTTGAGTGTCGAACACGACCCTCGAGATTACCAAGGGCCGCGTGGTTATGAGTACCACATAGTACCCCATCAGCGCGAATGTCTGCGAATGCCCGCATGACTGGTCGATATGAGGAGGCCATGCGCTCGCATGACTCTTATACGAAAAATCAGTGCGCGATACCTATCTGATCCTCGTGGCATAACGTTATGGGTCGGATACTGAAGGGACTAGGAGTGTTGTTGTGTTGTTGTGTTGTTTGTGGTGTTTATTTTGTGCGTGTCCATGTGTTATGTGTGGGTAGATATGAGTGTTGTGGTGTAACGCAAGGTGTATGTGATGCGTCCTAGTTTACCGGCGTCGAGTCGTGTTTGGGACCTCAGCCCCCCAGTACGTCGATTCGCGTGCGGGTTCGATTTTCGGGCGTTCGACCGCGCGTACCCCCCTATGCTACAGCGAACGAGAAACGCCTTCGGCTGGGCTACCTCTGCAATTGCATACGAAAAGTTTTCGCATATGGTTCAGTAGCTCGGCAGGGATACGCCCACCTAAGGGATGGTGACAGTTCCCGCAGGTGGAGGTAAGCGGTACCTCAAGTGACCCTGTCCTGTCGTAGGGGCTCGCGAGAGGTACGGCTCGCGCACTCGGCTGGAGCAGCAAACGCTCTCCGCGACAAGTCCTGCAAAATCATGTGTGACGCGGTCGGGAGGGTCCCCGTGCGGGACCGATGTGCTCAACAGCGAGCTCTCGTAACCCAGATGAAAAGGGTGTAGATTGGGACGAGGTTCGGGTAGTAGCGGGCCGATAAAGGGTGCCCTTCTATTCTGCCAAAGAGCGTCTCTCATGGACTTGTGTTTATGCGTGGACACAAGAGTTAGAATAACATGCTAACTGATTGTGTGATCCCGACTTCGTATTTTAATTGGCATATCTTGACTGAATACTAGGTGAGTTAGACAATATGTGTATATTCCTTTAAGAGCATTGTGTGTATATATCGGATCATAAGAAGCCTCAAGTTAGTCTGGATAAAACAGTGTGAATGATCAAGGGAAGAACGGTTCGAGCATGATCAAAGTATGAGAGTGAGCCTCTTGCGTATATGAGATGCTGAGGGTAAAGAGACGGATGAGGGTATAGTTTGTAGTATAGACTTGAGTGCATCATGAGATCATGTGAGAAGGTGATCTCATTAGGAGCACAAACTTGACTTTGGTTATAGTACTTGTCCCCTTTAAACATGTATTTTCCTCTGGAATACTCTCCCACGATTCAAGATAATGTGATTGTGTTTTGAGGGTTGAGTTTCTTTTTAATCATACCACCCTGAGCTATAGAAGGTGTGTCCACCTATACATCTGTGTATATAAGATACGTTGATTGTAGTGGGCTCTGAGTTTATGTTTTCAGGATTCTACAACCTTGAAGGTTAGTGTGTTGAACCTCTTCTTGTGTGAGTTTTGCTGAGATATGAGAAAGGAACATGCACAACGTTTTGACTCGAGGCCGCTGTAAACTTTTAATATATTGAGGCATGGTAGGTCTTGTGTTATTTTTGGATATTTGGATATGTCTTGGAGTCCTCTGATTTGAGGGGTGCGATTATGCCATGATTAAAAACTGTTTCAGCTTAGCTCTGGCTAAGGAGACTACGATCGTTTTTGTGATACTAGTGCTATTTTGAGTTGAGATTGTTCAACTCTAAGTATATATATATAATTCAAGACTATGATTATTCAT